ATCAGAAGCAGGCTCTGTGCTTACAGCAGACAGCCTGATGCAGGGCTTGAACTCATGAACCGTGAGATCATGACCTGAGACAAAGTCAAAGCCAGATGCTTAACCGACTGAGCCACCCAGGTGCCCCTTCTTTTTTTCTTTAATATAGGTATATTTATCAAGGCTGTCCTTCATGGCTTCTGGGCCAGAGACTTTCAGAGTCCTACTCTTGCACCCCATTTTTGTCCTCTTTAATAACTTTTATAATCTCTGTGTAGTATATTATCTCAGAGTGTAGAACATAACTATGAAAAGTTCTCTTTAGTTCATAATAATCCTTATTTGTTAAGATAACACCCTCGAGTAATAAAGCCTCGGATTTTCCTTTTGGGATGTAACTGGAACACTCCTGGGGTTGTCTGAAGTGCACACTTCTGTTACTGCAGTAGGTAGTTGGTCGTTATGTCTAAAGCATTTTCTCCTGTTTCTGTTCAGGTGAAAAGCTTCAGGTGCTGAAAGCTAAGCTGCAGGAAGCAATGAAGCTCCGTAGGCTTGAGGAGCGCCGAAAGCGCCAAGCATTATTTAAGTTAGATAATGAAGATGGATTTGAAGAAGAGGAAGAGGAGGAAGAAATGACAGATGAGTCTGAGGAAGATGGAGAAGAGGAGGAAGAAGGAGATCTAGAGGAAGAAGAGGAAGAAGAAGGCAATCAGGAGGTTTCTGACAATTATTTCATTTTGTTATTTGTTTAGGATGGATAAGGGAAAGAGTAAGTCAGATTTGAATAAGAGTAAGGTAAAGTAAGGTAAGCACGTTCAATTGTATAAGAGATTTTAGGGGCAGAGATGATGTAAGTAGCTCACAGGTACCGAAGTCTTTGCATTCAGTTCTGTTAGCACCTCTAGATACCTGCAGTTCACAGAGGCCGAGCCTTAGCTTCTACCTGTTAGTCTACTCACTGAAATAGAAGGCTAAAATGGAAATGGCTTTGTATTAATAGATGCCTTTATCTTTGATGTTTATTTAAGTTTTCTCTATTCAGAATGAAAAGCAGTCTCAACGTTGGTCAGGTTGAGGTCTGGAATAAATTCTCAGGCAGGCTGAGACCTTCCTGAGTTAATTTCTTTCTTGGTTGAGGAGGAAATTTATAAAAGGGCCTCTTGCCGTTGTTCTATACTATTGTCTTCTGCCTAGGGTAGATGATGACGAAGTTTTTGGTAGTAGAAAAAAAGAAGACCCCCCCCCCTTGTTTGAACTCTGCAGTCATTTGAAAGACTTGGTTCATATTTACCCCTGAGTAAAGAAAAGAGGAAAGCAATGGCTGAATCAGGTAGCATGTCATAGTCTATGTTTGGTTTAAGGCCACTAGTTGTCCTGCATTCTCAGGCTAGTTATTTAACCTCTCATTGCCTCAGTAAAATCTTAATTCGGTCTTTTTTCAGTCTTGTAGCACTTTGGGGAGGGTAAAATGTAAAAAAGTACAAAAGAGCTCTAGAAGTGTCAGGGAAAGTTATGTTAATGATGATGGTCAGACCAAGTCTCCTTTGGGTTTACCTTTTCAGATTTACGATGTGACCTATAACCAAGCAGCCATGCATGATGCTAACAACATATTTGCTTTTAAATTTTTTTACTTTGGTTTTGGGTGGCATGATTGATGAAGGTTGCAGAATTCCTTCTCAGTAGTGAAGAAATAGAAACCAAAGATGAGAAAGAAATGGATAAAGAAAACAGTGATGGCAGTAGTGAAATTGGCAAGTCAGTTGGCCTTCTCTCTGTCCCCAAACCTCTGTCATCTGATTCTACCTTACTTCTATTTAAGGACAACTCTTCCAAGATGGGGTAAGTAATTCTCTTTAGGGAAAGATAAGATTCCCTTGGGTTTGCCCCTCTTGTTAGAAGCAGAAGGAGATAAACAATTTACCTTCTTATTTTGTAGTTACTTTCCTAGTGAAGAAAAATCAGAAACAGATGAAATCTCAGGCAAAAGGCCTAGCAAACTGGGTAAGTAGTGACTCTTGTGCCGAACTTGACTTTTCTTAGCTCCTCTAGCTTTGATACTTAAGGACAATTCCATAAGATTCCATTTTTTTGAGCTCTAGTGGACTTCACTCTGTCTTACTTGTGGCAATGAAAGGAACTTATGAATTAGAACATTTTTCTTGATTCTGTTTTGGAAAACTTACATTCAGTTTCTTTGTTACTGACCATGGACACATGCTAGGTCCTTAGTAGTGTGTGTTGAATGAGTGAACCATGAAACATTTCAATCATATGTAGATGAACAGAAGATGTATACGTGATTGGATAATGGAGAGAGTGATTATAGGCATTAGGCAGGGTGAGACAAAGATGGGAACTTTCAGGGGTCACTTAGCTCAGAGTGATAAATCTTGATTGTATAATGCTATCTCAGAACTATAATTTACCTTCAACTTCATGTTTTAGAACATAGAACTTGAGAGATTTGCCTATGGATGTTACCTGATAGCTTTACATTCTCAATTCTTCTTCCTAAACAAATCCACCTTATTTCTGGAATCATGTACTTAAAAATGATTTCTCTTTCTTTAGATGAAGATGATTCATGCTCATTGCTAACAAAGGAGAGCAGCCACAATAGCAGCTTTGAGCTGATTGGCTCCACAATTCCGTCCTATCAGCCTTGCAACAGACAAACAGGCCGTGGGACCAGTTTTCTCCCCACAGCAGGAGGATTCAGATCTCCTTCCCCTGGGCTATTTCGAGCCAGTTTGGTCAGCTCAGCTTCTAAGGTAAGATGGTGATGGTTTTCTAATCTCCTCCCCCTTTTGCTTCCCACACTGCTAAATAAAGTGTGTCCAAGCCAACCAACTCCCACTACATTATGTATGTTCAATTTAAAGAATCCACCCCCTTTGTGTATTAAAAACAATCCTCATCCAATGTTCTTACATTCTTGAAGGTATTTTTCTTTATGCTTCCCTTGGCTATGCATTGTCCTCCTTAACTGCAATTGCCTTAGAGTAGATGAAATACTGCAAATAGCAACTTCTGTTGTTGTCATGACAGTGAATGACAATTATAAAATGTTTTGTTTTTGTTTGGTTTTGTTTTGGTGCCAGAGTTCAGGAAAGCTGTCTGAGCCTTCACTTCCCATAGAGGATTCCCAGGATCTGTATAACGCCTCCCCAGAGCCTAAGACACTTTTCCTGGGAGCAGGAGACTTCCAGTTCTGTTTAGAAGATGACACTCAGAGCCAACTGTTGGATGCAGATGGGTAGGTAGTTTTATGTTTCTGTGGGTGGGATGGTGCTGGGTACTGCTTAATTTTGTTTAAAAATAAAGTAAGCTTCTGTCACTCCATCTGTGCTTTCTCTTCTGAGAAAGAGAAGGTGTACAGACCATTAGTATTACATTCTGCAAGTCTGAAGAAAATCTCTCCAGAAAATAAAATGTAAATAGTCCTAGCTACCATTCTGATCCTTCGATCTCTGCTTTACTTGAAATGCACAGCTCCTGTAAGGGCATCAAATCTTCCTGTATCCATTCTGCTGCGTGTAGGCTTGTTGTGTGGAATTGAGAATGGAGACACCCATGTCACGTTACATGGACATAACACCAAGTTCTATTCTGGCACCGTCTAAAGCCAAAAATTACCCTTACCTTTCGAATATCATTTATTCTTTAATTAAACTCCCTCCCATTTTAGATTATCCTAAGGCTTCAGTTTGAATCCTCTGTCTTCTGGTTTGGGATTCAGCTTCTAAGTTCAGTTTTAGAAACATCAAAATTTTTCACACACTACTTTGTTTTTTCCCTAGGGAATTTCTTATAGTCTTCATTGTGCTTGTAGGTTCTTAAATGTTAGAAACCACAGGAATCAGTACCAGTCTCTGAAGCCTCGATTGCCATTGGCCAGTATGGATGAGAATGCCATGGATGCTAACATGGACGAACTATTGGATCTGTGCACTGGAAAGTTCACATCTCAAGCTGAAAAAACTCTGTCCAGGAAGAGCGACAAGAAAGAGAACCTGGAGGAACTTCTGAATCTTTGTTCAGGAAAATTCACTTCTCAGGGTAAATATCCAACATAGAGTATCAGGCTCTCCCTAGCCAAATATCTTAAGTCAGTGTCCTTGAAAAGAAGCCTGTTACTCTTGGGTGAAAAGTTCACAGAAAACAGGGCTGTGATGGATTCTTATGTGCGGGTTGAATTCTTAGCTTCCTGATATTTAGAGCCCTTACTTTCTTAAGGTGGTAAAATGTCAACTTAAGACTGCTTTAGCTTTTGGTACACCTGGGTGGTTCATTTGGTTGAGTGTCCAACTCTTGATTTTGGCTCAAGTCATGATCTCACGGTTCGTGAGGTCTGGCTTTGTGCTGACAGGTTGCAGCCTGTTTGGGATTCTCTGTCTCTCCCTCTTTCTCTGCCCTTCCCCTGCTTGCATGTGTGCACTCTCTCTCTCTCTCTCTCTCTCTCTCTCAAAATAAATAAATAAACATTAAATAAAAAAAAGACTGCTCTAGCTTTTGCCATGTGATTTCTCATTTATGGCTAATATGTATGCAAAGCTTTGAACAGTGTTGGTGTGTAGTAAATTTCATATAAATGCTTACTTGTTTCCACCTGTATGCTCCTTTTTCCCCAATGCTAGAATGTTAGCTATGTGGGAGCTGGGAGTTTTGTTTTGTTTTTGTTCACTACTGTATCCCTGGTGCCTGGCATATAGTAAGTACTAAATAAGGATTTGTTGAATGAATGGATGGTGAGCTCTTTTTGGCAAGCTTACCTTATAACTGTATTGAGCTGGCATGTCTTTAGATGGCTGGGGAAAGAGGATAAAGCTGTTATTTCTTGGTGACAAATCTTTTTCATTGTTGTGATATAGATGCCTCTACTCTGGCTCCATCAGAGTTAAATAAGCAAGAAAAGGAGAACAGTTTGGGTGATCCCATGGAAGAAGCCCTTGCTCTTTGCTCAGGCTCTTTCCCCACAGACAGGTGAGTCTCAGTGATTGGAGGGAACTTCAGAAGGCCCAGTCGTCTGGTAAAATCCTGGGGTCCACAGTAATGAGTCATCTTAGGAGCTTCATATCCTGTCCGAGAGTCTTGCAGTGTGTTTGAGTCTTGTTTGCAAAGTAAGGAAATTACAGTACTTTCATTTAGTTGGTGGAGAACAGGGTTAAAAAAGGCAAGCATAGAAACCTAAAGGTAAAGCTGGGAGGCAGACAGTGTAGACCACCGGGTGCTGCCTATTCTTCCAGCTCTGATCTGCTGTTGTAATGGGTCTAATCAGGCCTATGTCTGCCTTCTCCTTGAGCAGGCCAGTGATCCCATCTACACAGTCATCCTACAGCAGCTCCCCACTCCAGGTTGCCCAGTGGGAGTTCCAGACCAGTGTTGTTTCCTGGGACATTGACACAGTAGCCAAGTTTATTGGTGCTGGGGCTGCCACAGTTAGTGTGGCTGGCTCAGGGGCTGGCACCAGAACGGCATTTGGCAGTTTGATCATTGGCTGTGCCAGGAACCCGTCTCTGAAGCAGCAGTTCTTCTATGCCATTCTGGGCTTTGGTGTGTCTGAGGGCATGGGGTTCTTCTGTCTGATAGTCGCTTTCCTCATCCTCTTCGCCATGTGAGGGTCCATGGGGGTCACCTACCTGTCCCTGCTGCTTTGACTTCAGGCCCTGCCTGGTGCTAAAAGTGTGCTAAGCTTTACCATTAAACAAAACATTTCTCCTTAAAAAAAAAAAAAAAAGACAAGAATAAGCACATGAAAGTGTTCAACACTGATATTTAGGGAAATGCAAATCAAAACCACAATAAGATACTACCTCACATGCATTAGATGGCTACTGTTAAAAAAAAACACCAACCACAAAATAAGAAGTATTTGTGAGGATATGGAGATATTGGAGCCCTTACCCACTGCTGGTAGGAATATAAAATGTTGAAGCTGTTATGGAAATCAGAATGGCATTTCCTCAAAAAACTAAAAATAGAATATGATCCAGCAATTCCAAGTATATTCACAAAAGAAGTGAAAATCGGGTCTCAAGTATTTGTACACCCATGTTCACAGTAGCATTATTCATAATAGTAAAAAAATGGAGATATCCCAAATGGACAAACAAAATGTGGTGGACACACACAGGAATATTATTCAACCTTGAAAAGGAAGGAAATTCTGACACATGGGGCAACATGGATGAATCCTGAGGATATTATGGTAATTGAAATAAGCCAGTCCCCAAAATACAAATATTGTAGGATTCCACTTACATGAGGTACTTAGAGTTGTCAAATTCATAGAGGCAGAAAGTAGAAGGGTTGGATGCCAGTTGGTGAGGGGAGGGAAGAGTGGAGAATTGTTGATTAAAGGGCATAGAGTTTCAGTTTTGAAAGATGAAAGGAGTTTTGGATGTTGGTTGGACAACAATGGGATTATGTTGTATGTTTTTTTACAATTAAATTTGGCAAAGTATCTTATTTCCTATTTCTTAAAGAGATTGTTGGTGCTAATAAAATATTTTCAGTTCCTAAGTTGGCTGACTTCTTATTGTTTGGTTCCAACATCTTATTTATTAATTTCTTGATTTGCATTTTAGGGAAGAAGAAGAAGAAGGGGAAGAGGAAGAATTTGGAGACTTTCGGCTTATCCCAAATGATAATGAGTTTGATAGCGATGAGGTGAGTTTGAAGGGTACAAAGTAATCATAACTGAACTCCATGTATTGCTGCTGTATGTTTTTTTTTCTAGTCTGAGTTCTTGAGAATTCTGTTTGTCATGTTAGCAGAAGCAGTTTCCTAGAATGAGACATTTGGGCAGAAATTTATAAATCCTGTTTTAGTTGAGGACACGTTTTATTCTGTTTAACTTTGTGTGTGATACTCTATGATTTTTCAGGATGAACGCAGTAACTCTGATAATGAACATCTGGCACTGGAAGACCATGAAGATGATGATGAAGAGCTCCTAAAACAGTCTGAGAAGTTGAAAAGGCAAATGTAGGTGTTCTGTCCATTCCTTCCATTGCTAGAGAAAGTTCTAACAGTTAAATTGTAGCTTGCCACTGTTTTACCTATGTTTGCTTGGTTGTATTGCTTTTAGGCATTAACACAGATTAAATAAAACCCATTCATGTGATATCACTTGAGTATTCAGAGATGGTTATGTACTCCTTAGTGATTTCTATACTAAATATCTCTAGTTCCTACTGCTATTTCTCACATGACATTGCTTCTAGACTCCTCATGTACTGGGTATTCTCTTTATCCTCAGGTGTGGTCTGACTACTGCTGTATGTAGTGCTACAACCACATCCCTTGTTCTGGATGCATACTGCTTGTAAAGTAACCAGGGATTGTAAGAGCTGAGTCACGGTAGATCCTGAGGATCTAGTAGACAGCTAAAATTCCTGGGTCTTTTTTTTCCTCTGAATTACTGTCATTTCAGGTTTTCCTCATTCTAGTCTTGGGTAAATGGGTTCCCTGTTTATTTTTTTTAATGTTTTGCTGTTCTGATCATGAAAGTAAACCATTTATTTTATTTAAAAGAATACAAAAAGATATAAATAAAAAGTCATCTGTGTTCACCATCCAGAATATTAAATGAAAGTGTTGATGGTAGTTATTGCTTTGTAGCCATTTTTATGCATATATTTTCATATAGTTGATATCTGCAATTTTTTTATGTATAATTTTTCATCTTTTTTCCCCACTTAGGATATACATGAGCATTTTCCCATGATTTTAAAAGTTTTATAAAGACCATTTTAATAGGTAATCAGTATTATATTGTATGTGGATGACTTTTGGAATTCACATACAGGATATCATATTGATCCCTACTAGATTTAATTATTGTTTCTAGCCCATCATTCCATTCTGTTAAGGTCAGTTTGGGGTTCTAATTTCTCACCTGTCAAGTTAACTATCTCATACAGCTTTGAGTCATCTATAGATTTTTCTACAGCAGTGGTTCTTTTTTTTTTTTTTTTTTTAATGTTTATTTTTGAGAGAGAGGCAGAGTGTGAGTGGGGGAGGAGCAAAAAGAGAGGGAGACACAGAATTCGAAGCAGGCTCCAGGCTCTGAGCTGTTCACAGAGTCTGACGCGGGGCTTGAACTCACGAACCACGAGGTCGTGACCTGAGCCAAAGATTAGTCAGATGCTTAACTGACTGAGCCACCCAGGCACCCCTAAATTTTTTTATGTTTATTATTTTTGAGAGAGAGAGAGAGAGAGAGAAACAGTGTAAGCGGGGGAGGGGCAGAGAGAGAAGGAGATACAGAATAGGAAGCAGGCTCGAGCCCAATGTGGGGCTTGAACTCACGAACCGGAAGATCATGACCTGAGCTGAGGTTGGACACTTAACTGACTGAGCCACCCAGGTGCCCCTAAGGTGGTTGTTCTTAAACCTTATTTAACTGTAGAGTCCTTTGTTCAAATGAAATCTTAGAAAGACAGCTAAAAGTTGAACAGCTCAAAGTGGGTAGATGGGAAGATTGGGGAACTTAGTGTCTGGTAGCCCTTGAAGGAATTCCCTAGGAAGCCTAGGATTTAGAGAAATTCAGCTTAAAAAACAATAACACAAGTCTTTAATAAAAATCAGCCTTCAGGGCGCTTGGGTGGTTCAGTCAGTTAAGTGTCCAACTCTTGACTTTGGCCTGGGTCATGATCTCATAGTTCGAGAGTTTGAGCCCTGCATCAGGCTCTGTGCTGACAGCGTGGAGCCTGCTTGGGATTCTCTTTCTCTCTCTCTCTCTCTCTCTCTCTCTCTCTCTCTCTGCCCCTCTCCTGCTTGCTCTCTATCGCTCTTAAAATAAATAAAAATAAACTTAAAAAAAATTAACCTTCAGAAAGCCATCAAACTTCTGACACTCATGACTGTAGATGGCAGTACTTTGAACCCAAAGTGAAAGCAGATTTGTTCTCAATGGGAACTGAAGTCACAAAAACTTACTAGTAGTGGCTTTGCTTACCAGTAACTCTGAGCCTCAATCATGTCTCTAACTCGGGGGTCAAGATGTGGTAGCTGTAAGAGATCCCAGTCTATTACCTTTCTATTCCATACCATCTCTAGACTGTCTCCTAACACTGGTGAGCTTAAATACAGAACAGAATGATCCAAACTTTCCAGCAGTTATGTTTCAAATGTATAGAGGAGATTGGGAGTTCTGGCTTTATTTTTTTTTATTTTTATTTAAAAAAAAATTTTTTTTTTCAACGTTTATTTATTTATTTGGGACAGAGAGAGACAGAGCATGAACGGGGGAGGGGCAGAGAGAGAGGGAGACACAGAATCGGAAACAGACTCCAGGCTCTGAGCCATCAGCCCAGAGTCTGACGCGGGGCTCGAACTCACGGACCGCAAGATTGTGACCTGACTGAAGTCGGACGCTTAACCGACTGCGCCGCCCAGGCGCCCCGGGAGTTCTGGCTTTAAAGAACCTGATTGAATCCAGACTCTGCTGCCTCCTAGCTATGTGACTTTGGGTAATTTATTTACTCTCTGAATCTCAATTCATTCAACTGCAAATTAAAGGAAATAAAAGTGCTCCCTCCTGAGATAATGCTATGACGCTTGTAAAGCACAGTTATTGGCACACAGTATATATTAAATGATAGACTTTAAGTATTATCAAAATGTATTATTATAAATTTAAGCTTATTATTAGAAATGGCTCTGTGTTCTGCTTTTCTCATTACATCCATAATCTGTGTATGTATTCATTGTTGCATTTTCTTAAATTTTTTTTAATGTTTATTTTTTTGAGAGGGAGAGACAGAGTATGAGCAGGGGAGGGGCAGAGAGAGAGGGAAACACAGAATATGAAGCAGGTTCCAGGCTCTGAGCTGTCAGCACAGAGCCTGACGTGGGGCTCGAACTCACGAACTGTGAGATCATGACCTGAGCAGAAGTTGGATGCTAAACTGACTGAACCACCCAGGCGCCCCTCATTATTGCATTTTCTAATCTTTGAAATTATTTTCTAGGAGATTGAAGAAATACCTGGAGGACGAGGCAGAAGTGTCAGGGAGTGATGTGGGAAGTGAAGATGAGTATGATGGGGAAGATATTGATGAATATGAACAGGAAGAAATTGATGAAGTACTTCCTTCTGATGAGGAGCTGCAGAATCAAATCAAGAAAATACACATGTCAGTATCCCAACAGGTCCTTCTGAGTAATGGGATGTTTCTTAAGTCAGGCCCTACGATCAGCCAGAGTGGTCCTGGTTTTGTACACCATATTTTTCCTGCAGGAAAACGATGTTGGATGATGATAAGCGACAGCTACGTTTATACCAGGAGAGGTACCTTGCTGATGGGGATCTGCACAGTGATGGTCCTGGACGAATGAGGAAATTCCGATGGAAAAACATAGGTATCTTGGATGTTGCTGTTAGAAATAAATGGTACAATGTACATGTTTGTCCAGTTTAAGACTGTGAGTGGAAATCAAAACTGTAGCAGTCTATTGTGGAGGACCTGGCTAGAACTTACTTTCTATTAGTGAATGGGACGAGCTTGTATTGGTATATGGTAAATGATGAGTTCATTTGTGTCTGTCTGGCACCTTATCCTATGGGGATTGCAGAATGCTGATAGCCTTAACTGTTTGCTTTAGATGATGCTTCCCAGATGGACTTGTTCCACAGAGACTCTGATGATGATCAGATTGAAGAGCAGCTTGATGAGACAGAAGCCCATTGGAGGAAGGAAAGAATTGAAAGAGAGCAGTGGCTTCGAGACCAGGTAGGAAGTCTGCAGGAAAGTCGCCTATTCTGACTCTATAAGGAGGAAAAGACCCACTCACCTCGCTTGTCAGGATAGTTTTGAAATCTTGGGCAACTAACTTATTGCTGTCCCTTTTAATACTTGAATTTTCTTTTATGCTTTGAGAAGATTACCATGGGCAGTTCAATTCATGTTTGTTTGTCCAATATCAGTTTTTTGTCTAAATCAACAAAGGTTGCAAAAAGGAAAACAAATGATATCCCAGGTCCAGGCTATGCTAAATATTTCTGGAAGTGGTAGACTTCTTTTATTGTTGTCTGATTTTTATTTTCAGGCACAGCAGGGGAAAATTGCAGCTGAAGAAGAAGAAATTGGGGAAGACAGTCAGTTTATGATGCTAGCCAAGAAAGTTACAGCCAAAGCACTACAGAAAAATGGTGAGCTCTTGGTCCTCCTCTGTGTCCAGCCCCCTGGATTGTTGGTGTTGGAGCCTTGGAAGTGACTCCAACCTTTAGGGGCTGTTGCAGCTCAGGCATGGACCTTTGTCCAATACTGTCTTAAAGAGGCACCTCATGGGGCGCCTGGGTGGCGCAGTCGGTTGAGCGTCCGACTTCAGCCAGGTCACGATCTCGCGGTCCGGGAGTTCGAGCCCTGCGTCAGGCTCTGGGCTGATGGCTCAGAGCCTGGAGCCTGTTTCCGATTCTGTGTCTCCCTCTCTCTCTGCCCCTCCCCTGTTCATGCTCTGTCTCTCTCTGTCCCAAAAATAAATAAACGTTGAAAAAAAA